TCTTGCTTGAAAGCAAGCGGTGAGTGCAGGTGGAAATCCGGGCGGTCGCTGCGGGGGGTGTTTCCTGAAACGCTGCATCTTGACGTCGACTGTGGGAATTGAAATGGAACGACAGACACAACGATGGTGATTGGGAGTCGCAGCAAGTTGAACGAATCTTGCAGCAACGGTGTTCCACATGGGAAAAACAATACTTCCATGAATGACAGAAACGATAATCTGGGATGGGGGTTCTGTAATCTTCTATATTCTTCGCGGAGGTATAATTATAGAAGCGTAAAGCGGGGGTTCCATGATAGGAAAAGGAGCTGCGAGTTGAAACAAACGCAGCGCTCATCGAGAAGCGGCAAAATAAGGAGAAAAGCGTCGACAAAAAATGACGCCGAGGGGCTGATGATAATGAAGGGGTACCACCAAAAACAAAGGGGGGAGACATAAAGAAGATGAAAAAAAAGGAAAGAGACCATGCGGTCTGGATAGAGCCCGGTGGGGATATAGAGATAAAAAATGGCCGCTACGACCGATAGTACATATAAAAACAACCCAAGCTACGTTATTGATAAAAAAGGCTGAATGAGTTAGAGTTAGTATGAAAATCGTGAATTAGGGGAAAAGAGGGGAGGCAGTAAGGAGGTGGAGCAAAACGGTTGGCTAAAGGGGCCGTTGATAAGACTTTGGATAATCAACGGAACCGCGTCAAAGAAGAGTCTGTTCTCTGAAGGCACCTGCCCAGGGGAATGAAACGACGAATCACACATGATAGTACGCAAAACTGCTCAAATTCATCAACAAATAAAAAGGCACAAATATTACACAATGATGCTCGCAAAAACAGTACCTCCGACCGAAAAAGCGGGGGAGAGGGGTTCTAACACCTGGCCATTCATATGCTCTGCATTGCAGCCACAATTTCACTACAAGATATCAAAAAAATACTTGCAAAGAGAAATAATAATCCTCGTATGATAAACAAATAGATAAAGTGGCTGAATGAAAGATAACAACAAACTGGTGCAATGCAAAACACCTCAAGCAGTTGTCATTTCCTCATCCATGACGGGCAAAGAAAAGTGCATCAGCATTTTTCTTCGGTATAACATCTATGCAGAGTAGGTGTATATACCGTTATGCAACCCAACACTGAAGTTCGTGGTCTAGTACTTAGACCAACTTGTATTGGCACTGCGTGCTGGCAGCAGAAAGCAAGAAACGATTACAAAAAAAGAAAAGGAGGGTAATGGGGATCCGCTACATCCATAATAAAGGGAACAATACGACGGTTGAGGTGAGGGAGGAGTCAAGGCCTAAAAGGAATTGAACATTTTCAGAACCAATAGATATAGGATAGTAGCTCAATCGCGGGAAAGCGTGTCCCCAGAGCTGACAGGCTCCCAAATGCAGAAAAAGTGATGATGGCACAGTAGCCCAGATCTGGGGATGCTCTACATACACAGACATTCCAATAAAGGCAAGTGGCAGAGAGCTTGCTTATGACTTTTTACTAAACTCAAAACTCAGCAATCACTCTTCAGTCACCGACCCTCAAAAGCCTCACGGAGGGAAGGGAAAGGGGGAGAAATTGCAACCAGGTTAATAGGTTCAGTGCTTCAAACACACGAATTGTCCAAGTGATTCTAACCAAGGAAGGTTCTAGCAAATAAGGCAGGGCCTGCCATAGAAACTGTCTAGATCCTTCAAGTTATGTGAGGTGAATAGTTCCTTCCATTTGGAGGCCATGGCACTAAGTTACCCAATACTCCATTCTCATGTGACACTCTGTCACCTCCCACTCCCCAGGAAGTGTGGAATATTGTAAGTCCATTCTGATTACTTTACAACTAGTTAGCAGTCCACTGGACAATGCAGTGGACCACCCAGGCCTATAGCAACAGCCAACATCTGAGAGATGGGGGAAGGAGATACTGACAGGTGAAAAATACATGTGACTCTCTTCTCAAGGTCACCCACATGGCAGCACTAAATATGGAAATTGTTACTTAAAAAAGCGTTCCTAGTGTTTATTTAAATTCTGAATTTAGCTCTTATGCCACATTTCCTTTAAAGGGCAGCACAATATCTTTCTTGAAAGTTCTATGATACTTCTTACAATATGCTGCATCATATCCATACATAATATGTTAAGAATTTTGGGTCAAATTGAAGACTTGTGACCAGAGGGCGTGTATTATTGGTAGGTGTGACTGTGAATGTGCCCAGAGGGTAAATTATCACTCCCTGCTCCATTACACACAGACAATTAGCGGGCTAAGGCTGCGCTGCCAAATTCTGCGAAATTTCCACGCACCAGTAGCTAAGCACTCGGGAGTGCACTTCAACAGAGTAATTAGAAATGGAATGTAGAACCCTCTCTCTAAGGAGACCCCTGAAATGAGGACACCTCTCTAACAGAGACATCTTTTCTTTCCCCAAGAACAGTTTATTGCAACCACTAAATGGACACCTTCTTTGTTCCCATTGGTGTCATATTAGAGGTGTCCCACTGTATAAACTTCCAATAATAGATATTATATTATATTATACCTTTCTTCTAGCACGAATTGCAAACATTCCAGCCTCAGTACACACGCTGCATATTTCGGCACCTGTGTGGAAATAGAATTCAGAGACCTCTCACACACACACGGGGAATCCACTGTACCACACAACTACAAAGTGACAGGTGGAAGTTGAAAAAGAGGTCGCCCAACGCCCACCCTCATGCCCAAAGGCACCGCCTCAAACCGCAAGCCCCAAAGGCAAAGTGTCAACCAAAATCACGGCCTATTGACCCCAAATGAAGAATTTGCACGATGTTTAATTGGACAGCTGTCTTTGGGGGAATGAGTGGGTTCTAGCCAGCATGTCTCCCGATGTGTTTAGCTGAAACTCCCTCACATTCAGTAGTGCACAGATCACCTGCCCACAACACTTCCCTCCACACACCCTCATACCACTCAATTCACATCCTCCTTAAAAACCATTCATTACAGTTGTACTATGCCCAATACTATCCAGTGGGTGGAACTCCTCTAATCCTACACCAATGGAACAGGAGAAAGTGTCCATATTAGTCTGGTGTCCTCACTTCAGGGGTTAAATTGCACGCAAGAAACTGTTCGTGGGTAAAGAAAATAAGAGAGGTTTCCGACAATTCAGGGTTGTCATTAGAGAAGGGTTCCACTGCATTCATATGTACATATACACCGCCACACAGAGACTGATATTACTTCCATTCTGCCACCCGATACGTAAAATATTGGGTGTCTATCTATCTCACGTAATTTTATAAGAGTAATTTTGTGTATTCAGATCGCTATCGATACCCAACAGATTACGTGTCTAAAATGTCCATAGAAGAACGTCTGTTTGGCGCAGAGAATTCACTTGGCTATAGATCAAAAAGGAGGTCGTACTAGAACACAAGAGCGGCTACTTGTGTGTCCAACTAACTCAGGCCTGCTCGAAATCAAGATAACCTTTTTAAGCCCAGTAAAATGACACTACACCAAGGCTTGTATATGCAGCTACTGTGTAACCAAAGAATTTTCACAAATCGCTGAAAAAGCAACCTTTCGTGATTTAGGTTGGAAAACAAGTGTGGCAGGCTAAAACAAAAATATTTTCGCGAAAACATCTGACGTTATAGTTACAAAGCTGTCAGACTAGCAGCTGTTGCAAGAATAAAGATTGCGGCTTCATATTGAATTACTCAGCAACATAATTATAATTGTTCAAAACCATTGCGGGAAGAGGCCACTTAATTCTCATTAGACAGAGACCAAATCCAGGCAAAACTATGGCCTGACACTACTACAGCCACTTGGGCCACAAAATAATCAGTTCACACACTCCTTGGGTGTAAATAGAAGCCAGCCGGGTCAGACTTGTGTTGGAGAGAAAGGTTTCTGCAGCCCCTGTCCAGAGAAAAGTGATTCTATGGTGATAGTAGGAGAGAGTGAGGTGGGTCAGCTGGCTCTTGAGGTACATTTAGAGTCCTCACTAATATGGACACTTTCTTTTGTCTCATTGGTGTCTGGATTAGAGAGGTTCCACTGTATAATGCTCAGGGCACCTCACTAATATAGACACTTTCTTCTGTCCCATTGGTGTCTGGATTAGAGGAGTTCCACTGCATATACAGCACAAAACATCATGTGTCTTTGCAAATGGAGAAAGGAGGGAAGAAGGGAAGGATCGTCCAATATGTACATGTGCCAAGGGTATTGTCGCACTATCCAACCTCAAAACTATAGTAAAACAGTTTGGCGGAGCATCATCGTCTGATGATGTAACTAATCGGGACACGACACAAACGACATGTTTCCTAGGAGGGCTGGCATCCTTTCACAGCAGAGGCATGCTTTTGAAGAACTAGAACAGAGTACGGGGCAAATGGGCCATGGAATCTTGGATCGGAAAACAATCGAGGTGGCTTTGATATGGAACAAATTTGGCCGACATCAGGATGGTACAACAATCCGTTAGTTTCAGGGGTACAGCAATTATCGATTTCCGATCGCTATTCTGACGTGTGTGTTGACATTTACCTCGAAGCACTTGGCCGCAAGAACTGGCAATGAAACCAAAATCTAACCTTTGATGGCTTTCTCATCAAAGATAGTGAAAATGTCTGATATTTTGGGACTTGCACCCGAATGATTGGCGTAAGCCATCGATGCTGGCACTGTAACACTTTCATAAACCAATAGACGTCCAAATGTGATTACATCATTGAAACGCACCGAATTTATCACTGCACAATTTTAGTCAAAAACAGTGGAAAATTGCTCTAAGGACACCTCTCTAATAAGGACACTTTTTCTTTCCCCAAGAACAGTTTATTGCATGCCATTCAAAAAGGACACCTCTCTAATATGGACACTTTCTTCTGTCCCAAGAACAGTTTATTGCATACCAATCAATAAGGACACCTCTCTAATATGGACACTTTCTTCTGTCCCATTGGTGTCTGTATTAGGGGAGTTCCACAGGGTGTGGAGTTCTTGCTGGTATACATGAAGTACATTAAGTGTTAAGCGTAATTGTACAAATCAAATTTACAAGTATGCAATCATCAGAGCTATTGGGTGTGATTCTCTAATACTCATTATCAATTTACGATAATCTAATTTACATCCATCAACAGAAGTAATTGGTAGTTGCAAGCATGCAATTCTGAATAGTGACAAATCCCATAAACCTAGCTAGTACTATACCTTTAGATTTGATATTGAAACAATTAGATTTGATATTTAGACAATAACCTACAAGTCTTATTAGTTTGAATACTATCCGTATGACGTATTCAGAACCAAATTTAGCGTTAAATATTACCATACGTGCCTTTCCTGAGTGACTAGATATATACAAATATCTTTGGACGCCATAATCTCCTTAAATAAGCAGAAATTGATTATTAATGCCTAGTAGTATAGCCCTAATAAATTCTTATGGGCTTATGGAGGCTCTGGGCATATTTATATTCCCGTGGCTTGCTAAGGGTTAAAAACATGAATATTCGAAGTAGTAAACTATGGATACACCAAGGCACCTACCCCGGCAGATTAGTGGCGACCACATCGTCTTCCCTTCAGCTGTGCAAATGTGTGACTAGCCCTCTCGTTAACACGCTAACTAGGGTTAAGCGCCACGTAATTAAGATGCAAATCAAGAAAAGTGATCTTCGATGAAGCTACTATACTGCCAATACAGTGAGACTTAAGTAACCATTTAGACTTCGTAACGAGTCAAAACTCTCTCCTACACACACACACTCACGCTCTAGACATTGCCTAATTGCTAATCACAAATGTATGAGTAAACCTGCCCCAATTTGGCAAGAGATGGATGTAGGATATTTGCCTACCATATGGTCTGTAAACACCTGTAGCTGCGGGCATCTCCAATAGCTACGGGCATCTCCAATAGCTACCGTATACAGCACGAACATTTGGCCTGTTCGACTAAGCTGCATTAATCGAACATATAACTCTTTTCTTTACAGATTAAGAGTGCATCATCTATTATTGGCCTTGGAATGTACTAATTGAGATATGGCATCACCTGTGGAGTACGAAGACCAGAAATATTTCTTTGGAGACCTCATGGCCTAAATACTAGAGAGTACTACTAGCTATTCAGAGGCCACTGTTGTCACGTGAGAGTCACATGACTTTTTATGACAAATTGCTGAGCACAGCAATTGGAGAAAACCACGTGCACAGGACGTAGCATGGCAGAGTAATAGACCTAAAATGTAAAAGGCCACACGTTCAGTCACTTTGTGCAGAGCACTGCGGCTAGCTGGAAAGACTTTGGGTGGTGCTATAAGCCAAAAGTGACTTAAATCTAGACAGTCACACATGTTGTAGTCTCACACCATTGGCTAGAGAACTGGGCTGGAATTGTGCTAGAATTGGCCAGCACTCCTACTCTATACCACAACCTCGCCAACTAATCAATATGAGGTTAATAGGATAATGCGATAAGCAAAACCGCCTCGCCACAACGGCAAACGAAATGGTGAGGCCGTCACATCGCACCTGCGAAAACCATACGGTGTGAATTTTTCGGCAGCTTATGAATAAAGGTGCAAGAATTCGATACGGATTATTTCGATAACCGCATCAGAGAGAATCGAGGACACGAGGAGGGACGAGAACGGGAACCGGATACCTTGTAGTGAGGGGTGTGGGGTACGTAAGGAATTTACAAACACGCTCTGATGACATATTCTGAGAATATTGAGCGAGCACTCCGAATAAAGGACACCACTATAATTATAAACACCGTGATACGTGATGCAACCTCGTTGGGTGAGATGATAATGCAATGTAGAAAATACCATGTGATGCCAAGAGAAAAAAGATGTGGAGCTCTGGACAGCTGTTTCGGGCTTGTTGGCCCTCATCAGCAGAGCATACCCCAACTTCTCTCTCTGGCATCATTGAGTTTTATAAAGGCTACCATGTATAGGTATCATGGCAGAAACAGAAGGAATTTGTAATTCTACTGCACGTGACACCACAGCTCTTGCATTTTAGTTCAGTATATTAGTGGTGTCAGTGTGTCTGTCACCTTGTTGCCCAGCCCCCCCTCTCTCTCTCTCTCCTGGCAACCACCAGTGTGTCGCCCACCCCCTTTTGTCAACTCTCTCTCTCTCTCTGTCAATGTGAGGTGTGTCTCCTCCCTCCTCCTCCTCCCCTTTAGTTTTAGTTCAGTATACCACACTGGCTCAAGTGTCTACCACACCCACGCATTGATGACTTATCTCACAAAGTTGTACAGAAACCTTTTTCGATCCGGTCATAATATAATAATTTAGCAACCTCTGAATAAAGGACGCCTTTTTCGATCCGGTCATAATATAATAATTTAGCAACCTCTGAATAAAGGACGCCTATCTATAGACGACATGTCCGATCTGGTATTTACTAACTTCACCTCTAAATACAGGACACCTCGGGGCAAATCCTCAAGGTCCCAGCTTGATACCTTTATTCAGAAGTTCCGGTTGTGAAATTGGAGACCAGAGTGGAATGGAATGTGACAATACAGGGAGCAGATGGCCACCAATTATTATTGTAACAGAATAAAGGATGACTATTTCTAGAGGAAGCTGTTCTAATCTAGGGTGGAGGTTTAGGCATATGTACAGGCATATGTACATATCATACCCTTAAACTAACATTTGCATTCTCCATGGTCACGTGCACAAGTGTGTGTGTGTGTGTGTGTGTGTGTGTGTGTGTTTGTGTGTGTGTGCGTGTGTGGCCGGAGAGAGAGAGAGGATTCAACTGAACTGCCATTTTTCTCCAGTTGTAGACGTGAGTGCCTCCCAGGGTTCTGTTGTAAACAGTACTCTACGGCCACGTACTACATTCATATTTGGTGCCCAATTAGGCATACGCTAAGTGATTACGCTGATTGCTCACTCCCAAATAGCCATAGGAACCACTTGTTTTGCATTCATCACATTATTCACGACGTATCATCACATTTCGCACATTTTGTGTACATCTTACAAACTAACTTAGGTCTACAAATCAAGACACTTAATCGCATACCACACATTTTTAGTAACACATGTAACAATAGACCATGTGATGTACAGTTTTAGCTCTACCAACAAAAATACCAACGCTTGCTAAAAAAATATCCACACCCTCATGTTCCCGTGTTAATTATGTAAACGAGACTTTGTATTGTACATGAAAAATGTATATTTCACGTAGAAAATGTCCCGAGGAATTTTTCGGGATCAAACTATTACAACTTTGAAGGCGGCATGATGGCACCGGCCGGCCGGCTGGGCAGACTATAGTCCCAGGCGTAGTACGTGCGTGGGTGGGCTCTTACAAGAAAACGCAGCCGGTGTACAAGAAAACGCAACAACAGTTGTAGATTGATGTCACACGATAACGATAGCAAAAGTATGCCCGGTTGAGACACCCCTAAGCATGCCAGCCAGGGCGCACAATACACACTACATGTACCGGCTATGAATGCGGGCCAGGTCGAGTACGGAATTTGCTAATTAGATTAAGGGGCAAGGTTGGGATGGGGCAGCGGTAGACCGACAGATTAATTACAGCCCTGTGCATGTCAGAACCACCGCCACAGTGGCTGATAGGCTGCAATTGTGAAAGGTGAAAAATCCCTCTTTGATCGAGACTGCCGCTGTTTCAAGGGAACGGAAAGGGAAATGAGGTCCAGTCAACATGAATTAGCCTCTGTGAGTGGCCAAAGGCTAAAGATGAGTGGCATATATGAGTAAATGCACCACCCAGACACACACACTTTCTCTCTCACACACAGCACATGCTGGCATGCTCCCACAACACACACACACACACACTGCGTCTGTCTGTCGGCTTGTTTCCTCTAAGGACTTACTATAAGCTGCAAGTAGGGTGTATTACTGTAAATGAGGTGCTACTATGGATAATGGGGCACTCACCCCACAGGGACAGCCAGACATACCACACACTTCAGCCAACAACACACAATTGTATCTCAGGCTCAATACAGCAAAGATACACTGGCTTTGTCTCCTTTGTCTAATTATACCTCAATGACACTCTGATATGCATCCTCTCTCTTCTCTCTTTGGAGGCACACACACACATACACACACACACACACGCAGACACACCCTCTCCCTCCCCCTCTCCCTCCTTCCCCTCCACTCACCAGTACTGTTAGGACAAAGGCGGGCCAGCAGCTCAAATCTAATCCCCTTCTCGATGCTCATCTTTGCAGCATGGATCTTGAATATGTGACTGCGCCCCTGCGGAAAGAAAACAAACCCTTTAGCAGGAAACCTTCGACAAAGAAAACCTCGTGAGTTTCGTTGCACATGAGAAATCGACTTTCACAAACACTTCTTGTCGACCACGAATACCCCTGCCCATAAAAACAATTTTGCAGATAAAACCATTTATTTACAGCTCCCACAATGTGGAAATCTAACATGGATGTATGTGATTAAATCCACATCAGTTTTTTCTTGGGAAGAACAGGTGAGAGAGGGGAGGAGGAGGAGGGAGGAGACACACCTCACATTGACAGAGAGAGAGAGAGAGTTGACAAAAGGGGGTGGGTGACACACACTGGTGGTTGCCAGGAGAGAGAGAGAGGGGGGGCTGGGCAACAAGGTGACAGACACACTGACACCACTAATAGCTCTGGTACTGCCAGAAAAACACTACCATTATCCTAGTGCGAAACGTTGTGAACGAGAAAAGATTTCTTTCACAATTTTTGCCGGCTGAGAAATTTTTTGTGGAAAGGGAAACTAGCTGTAAATTAATTTTTAAAACAGGTTATTTTTGTTATGCACTATGCACTAAATTTCTTATTAGGGGCAAATTACTTCAAGCACTGTCATTCCACATGTACTAAATCAAGCCATAAATATTGACATGCACTTGAGCCAGTGTGGTATACTGAACTAAAATGCAAGAGCTGTTGTGTGTAAACAAGATAAGACAAGATAAATGTATAATAACCAGAAGGCCTACAAAATGTACTGTAGTGAGGTTGTAGTTTTCCTGTCAAATATGTAGCTAGGTACACAGTTCCCATGGGGATCAGACTGATAAACATGTGACTTACTAGTAGCACTCCATAATTACATGTACACACACACTTACACACAAATGTTAATGACATAATCACAAATTAACACTATTTCCTTATAAGTTCACACACCAACACCACTGCACCATGGGGGGAGAGGAGAGTTTAATTTCAGCCACAGTCCCACTGAAAGGAACTAATTTGATTAGCTGGGACTAGGAAGGTAGTGGTCAACATTAATATAGTGTGGGCAGTGAGTAGTAGAGTTTAACAGTTTTACACAAGGTTATGTGAATGGAAGGAATGTGTTCTGGCAGCTTATTAAGATTAAAAAAACTGGTTGAGACCTGGTCTGCTACCTGCAGTGTACATTGGCAGCAGCCTCTCTAAACTGTGAGCTGGGATAACATTCTTTTCCTTTCTACTACATACCATGTAACAATAGATCATGGGAGAGACTCCATGTGCCAAATAGGTGACTTATCTATTATCACGCAACCTTACAACTTGCCTTTTTGCCCCATGGCTATGCCTTGCAGGTACATTTGGTACGGAGGTCGAAAGGAGGTCCTTCCTTGCCAAAAATGTGGAGCATTCCGTTCTAATACTAAATGTAATATGTAGCCTCCAGGGAACTACTACCTTTTTGTTTTTTTTGTTGGTGTTGGTTTTTTTTTTTTTTTTTTTTTTGGGTTTTTTTTTTGTTTTTTTTGGGTTTTGTTTGTTTGTTTTGGTGTTGTTTTTTTGGTTTTGTGGGGGTGGTGTTTTGTTTTTGGTGTTTTTTTTTTTGTTGTTTTGTTGGGTTTTTTTTGGTGTTTTTTGTTTGGTTTGTGTGTTGTGGTGTTTTTGTGTGTGGTTGGTGGTTTTTTTGGTTGGTGGTGTGTTTGGGTGTTGTTTGTTGGGTGGGGTGTTGTGGTTTGGTGTGGGTTGTTTTGTGGGTGGGTTTTTTTTTTGGTGTGTGGGGTGTTTTTTGTTTGTTTGTGGGGTTGTGTTTTTGTTTTTGTTTGTTTGGTTTTTGTGTTTGGGGTGGTGTTGGTGTGTTGTGGGTGGGGGGGTGGTTGTGGGGGGGGGGTGGGTGTGGTTGGTTGGGTTGGGTTGTGGTGTGTGGTGGTGGGTTGTGGGGTGGTTGTGTGGTGTTTTTGTTTTTTTTTTGTTTTTTGGTTGTGGTGGTTTGGGTGTGTTGGGTGGGTTGGTTTTTGTTTTTTTTTTTGTTTTTTTGTTTTGTTTGTTGTTTTTGTTGTTTGTTTTTTTGTTTTTTTTTTTGTTGTTGTTTGGTTTTTGTTTTTAATTATGTGCAGATTGTTGAAACAAGTTGTGAGGCATCTGCTTTTCTCTCTTTTGTGTGGGTTTTTACACTTTCATTTTTTAGGGCGATTGTCGAGAGTGTGTTGGTTGCACTGTACTACGTACACACTCACAACAAGTCAGTAGAATGAGAAACCAAACGTAGTCACGAAATATGTTTTTGGTTACTTAATGCGTTGTACACCACACGCGATGGTATTGCTAGTGGCCCCTTCCCAGTCAAAACATAACCAGGTAGGCGTCGCTAAACACGCAATACCATCTTCAAATATGGGCGGTTTCGTTCATTCCCAGTCCACATCAAACTAATAGTAATTATTGACAAACACACAGTATACAAAATCTATTGATCTATTGATCTATTGATCTAACGGCTGAGTCCATATAATATTAGGGATAGTTTCGAATTTTGAAAGTGGGTCAGAAGGTAGCCACAGGCAATGCTAGACTGTGAGGTAAGAAGATGGCAATGTGTTATCAATGGTGGAGATCAGTGGAGGAATGCACCAGGCAACATTCCAGCGGGTGGCTTAAGAAAAGTGGAGCCATGATAACAGCACACAGCCCCCACAGCTTCCTCTTTACTTTGGCCTATTCAAAACTCTAGACCCATTATATACTACCCAACTCCAAGAACTTTAGGTGTGCCATCCCCTGTTCCCATGAAATTTATTTCTAAAGTGCTCCCTTTTTCCTGGTGTGCCCTTCACTTGCTTCCTTGCACCTACAAAAATTGTAGGTGCGTTATCACTAAAATTTTACCCATGCCTGAGAAATTTTTCTGGCGGGCCATGCATAAGTTTTCCCTAGCCACCCAGCTGGACACCTCTGAATAAAGGACAATTTCCAAGGCTCCAGCGTTCTACTGCATTACATTCCCAACGCTACCCTCAATACAGAATCTCTGTCATTCTACACGTAGCCGGGAGAGAGAACAGCATCCGCCAGCCAAACTCCCCCTGACCCATCATCAAATATCCCAGAATCACGAGAACAACTCTCGATCAAAAAAGCCGACCGGTTAGGCCTGGAACTCCAAGCACCGATGATATTTGTTTGAACTCAACTCCTGTCGTCTTTGTGCGTGGCATTGTTAACCCACGGGGGAATAAACGCTCAACGGTCGAATTAGATAGTTGTCAGTGATCTTTTGATGTCTGCATATCTACGGGCATCCCTCATAGGCTCGTTGTCTGAGTATGTGCCAGTCATCAACGTCTCTAAACACACTTCCCTCCTCACCTCCCTTCCCATTCTCCCTCTCTCCATTTCCTCTCTTTCAACCACACATCTGAAACATTTTGTGCAGAAAAAGCCTTTGGGTGTACTTGCCTAGGGATACCCTTAGTGATGAAAATGGAATTCTTGCTCAGAGGGAAAGTCGACAGTTCCTCGCACATTCTCATTCCTCCCCCTCCCTCTCTCTCTCTTCTCCATCTCTCCCTCCCTCTCCATTATTTAATTTACCTCAAGGTCAGGAAGTCCAAACTCCACCTTCCGATCCATCCTGCCAGGTCGGAGTAGAGCAGGGTCCAATGTATCAGGTCTGCACAAGGAATAGAGACACCATACAATGATATATACATACATGGAATAGAGACACCATAGGCATGGAATAGAGACTGCTCCAACATGGAATAGGGATCACTCCAACATGGAACAGAGACGCCATACAATGATACATAGAATAGAGTCAACTCCAACATGGAATAGAGACATCAAGGAAGACACACCCCCTGACCTGTTGGTTGCCATGAGAACCTTGATGTTGCCACGGGGATCAAACCCGTCCAACTGGTTTATCAGCTCCAGCATAGTTCGCTGGACCTCGTTTGAGCTGCCGTCACCATCAGAGAATCTCGTTCCTTTTATTAGGATTGAGGTGTGGGGGGAGGGAGGGAGGAGGAGAGGGAGGGGAGGAGAGGAGAGGAGGGAGGGAGGGAGGAGGAGGAGGAGAGGGAGGGGAGGAGGAGGAAAATGAAGAAGTACACGGCTTTGGTGGACAGAACATGCAACAAGCACTGCTCTAGTGTCACTACTTCTGCACACATTATACATCTGCAGACTTGCTTTCATACTTCAGTTTTAACTACCCATTCACCCATAGGTGGAGGAAGAGAGAGAGAGAGAAGTCAAATCTATACCCGCGGCCGCTGGTACACGTGAAGAGAGAGAGAGAGAGAGAAGTCAAATCTATACCCGCGGCCGCTGGTACACGTGAAGAGAGAGAGAGAAGTCAAATCTATACCCGCGGCCGCTGGTACACGTGAAGAGAGAGAGAGAGAAGTCAAATCTATACCCGCGGCCGCTGGTACACGTGAAGAGAGAGAGAGAGAAGTCAATCTATACCCGCGGCCGCTGGTACACGTGAAAGAGAGAGAGAGAAGTCAAATCTATACCCGCGGCCGCTGGTACACGTGAAGAGAGAGAGAGAGAAGTCAAATCTATACCCGCGGCCGCTGGTACACGTGAAGAGAGAGAGAGAGAAGTCAAATCTATACCCGCGGCCGCTGGTACACGTGAAGAGAGAGAGAGAGAAGTCAAATCTATACCCGCGGCCGCTGGTACACGTGAAGAGAGAGAGAGAGAAGTCAAATCTATACCCGCGGCCGCTGGTACACGTGAAGAGAGAGAGAGAGAAGTCAAATCTATACCCGCGGCCGCTGGTACACGTGAAGAGAGAGAGAGAGAAGTCAAATCTATACCCGCGGCCGCTGGTACACGTGAAGAGAGAGAGAGACAGAAGTCAAATCTATACCCGCGGCCGCTGGTGCACGTGAAGAGAGAGAGACAGAAGTCAAATCTATACCCGCGGCCGCTGGTGCACGTGAAGAGAGAGAGACAGAAGTCAAATCTATACCCGCGGCCGCTGGTGCACGTGAAGAGAGAGAGACAGAAGTCAAATCTATACCCGCGGCCGCTGGTGCACGTGAAGAGAGAGAGAGAGAAGTCAAATCTATACCCGCGGCCGCTGGCACACGTGAAGAGAGAGAGAGAGAAGTCAAATCTATACCCGCGGCCGCTGGCACACGTGAAGAGAGAGAGAGAGAAGTCAAATCTATACCCGCGGCCGCTGGTACACGTGAAGAGAGAGAGAGAGAAGTCAAATCTATACCCGCGGCCGCTGGTACACGTGAAGAGAGAGAGAGAGAAGTCAAATCTATACCCGCGGCCGCTGGTATATACACGTGTTGTTTACGAGGCCCCTTTATTCCGTGTGTGCACACACTGCGTAGCGGTGTTCCCTTTGTGGGGGAGGGGGGATTCACCGAGTCACCCTGACTGAGGGTATATACACCAACAGCTTCAACCAGCCATTGTGAGGTTGCTAACCACTGTACCACTGTACCCAAAACACTACAAGATCTAAATACAGCAGTCTGCATGGAGCCGGAGGAAGAGGAGGCGGCCAGTCATCTTCATACAAAGACTATCGCATATCAATAGTATCTCGTGGCTTCAGTAGCCATTTGGTAGTCAATGGGACAGGAACCGTTGAGAAACTCGAGATGGTTGAAGGAATTAAGCAGTGGCGTAGGTTGACAAAGGGGTGAAATACAATTTAGTGAGACTAACGTACGTTCGCACTGGGAATGCACGCGGAAGTAGATAATGAGGAGGGCGGTACTATGCTCTAACATTCTGAGTGCAGAGAGGATGCCACGTACAATGAAAAGTTAATCACCCAAAGGTAACGTGTTTCATAATACGCAGAATGCACACATCGTACTTACCACCAATTGCGTCAATCTCATCAAAGAAGATGATGCAGGCTTTCTTTGTCCGAGCCATTTCGAACAGCTCTCTAACCATCCTGGCTCCCTGGAGACAAGGAGAGGCACAGAGAGACTCAAAAAATTGCAACCCTCCATTTTACCACTAATCCCCCTCCGCAAATTTCACGAATTCCGTGACTTTTACCAACTTGTTCAACGTAATAACTATGTGAGATGTTCCTTGCGTGTGAATCGCAAAATTCGATACAACCTACTCTTTTTTTGGGTAAGAATTGTGACATTTTGGAAAGTTTTCACTCAAAAGTTGCACATTGAAACATGCGTATGTACGTATAAAGTAACAAACCATCGGGAGAATTTAAAAACAAGGAAGTATCCGGTGTGTCTTACCTCTCCAACATACTTCTGAACCAACTCGGAGCCGATGACGCGAATGAAACACGCGTCAGTCCGGTTTGCGACTGCCCTAGCGAGCAGGGTCTTCCCCGTGCCCGGAGGACCGAAAAGGAGGACACCTTTTGGCGGTTCGATACCGAGATTGACGAATCTCTCGGGCTGAGGAGGGAGGGAGGAGGAGGAGGGAGGGAGGGGGGAGGAGGGAGGGAGAGGAAGGAAGACAGAAGAAAAGAGGAAGGGTAGGGTGACAAGATACCCATCAAGTAGAAATCGTGTTCCCACATCATCAAATGTATACATGATTGCGAGTTTCTCTTGGCTTTACATGGTCTAATAATGTGAATACTCTGTGGTTCCTTACATGCAGTAGAGGTGTCTCCACAACCTCTTTCAGTTTCGTTATCTGTTCCTTGCAACCTCCTGTAATGATACATACAAAGAACACAGATTGATTACCAAATACGTAGAAACTGCAAAATAAGTCGAATGGAGCCAATGATGTCGTTAGTAATATTAATGAACTGGTGATGTCATGGGTGGAATCAACAATATATGTTTAATGGAGCTGATGATGTCATACCGACATCGTTGTAGGTGACGTCAGGTTTCTCCTCCACCTGCATCATGGTCACCGTGGGATCGATCTTGGGTGGCAGAGGAAGATGGATCTCATATTTGTTTCTATCTCCAACACTGCACGAGAGAGAGAGAAGATGGAACAATCATCTCTCTTTCTTCTCTCTCTCTCTCTCTTTATGAGCTTCACAACATCTTAGTCCTTCCTATCTTCGTGTCGTTATGCACCACACCCTCCCTCTCTCCTCTCCTCCCTCACATTCCTCTCCCTTCTCCCGTTCCCCGTTCCCGTCCGTTCATACATGCATCATTCATAGGGGGTAAATTTTTCACTGGATGGTTGCTACTGCTGGGGCATTTAAAGGCTCAGCAAGTACGCATATTTGCTGTGTTATTGACTTACAGAGTATTGCTCTCTCTCTCTCTCTCTCTCTCTCTCCTCACCCAACTCTCATTCCCTCCTCCACGTCAGTAGGAGCCAGATTCTTGTGGAGATTTACGACAAACTTGGCAAACTGCTTCACGTGTATCATGAACTTCGGGTGCTCCGTGTTGGCATCAATGATCTTAGTACACCTTGCAACCTGGACGACAAACGAAGATAGGGAGAGGAGACAATTTTTAAACAACAAGTTGCTTTAAATATTTACATCACTCGGTGTTTTTTTGAGATGGCACAAAGAACGGCCATCAAAAAATGAATGGAGTCTCACTGGGATGAGCTGTACACTTTGATTTTTGAGTTTCGTGTGAGTGGAAGAATTTCAAGGCAACTTTAAATATTATCTCGCCTCATTTAATTCTCCCAATCCCTATCTCACCTCACGCATGTTATACAAAGTGTGGATGTAGTTTGTTGCGGATTTCTTATTAATGCACACTCTGTTCATTTCCTCCCAACCTGAAGTGGTTCCTCAGTCTGAAGAGCCTGTTTGTCAGCGGCCAAGTCCCAAAGGGCAGGGATTGCCAGCCCCGTGTCCGACTCCTTGATGCCAGCTGCCTCGTTCACCGACTTGATCTTGGCCTGAATGTCGTCTTCGATCTCCTTCACTCTCTGGGTGTATGGACCTGAGCCCTTTAGGAGGAAAAGAGGGGAGAGGAATGACTTAATTAATTGAATAATTAAAACAATAGTGAGGAGTAAGATTTTAAATGTAAATCGCATGTCTGGTAGAAAACGAACAAGTGAAGCAGTGATAAGTACCAGAAGAAAAAACTTCCTATGGCTTAGCGTAAAAAACACGTCTTTTTTCAACTCACGTAGGCCTTTAGAAGCTGAATGTCCCCCTCGTCCAAACCTGGAGGGTGCGCGTTAAATAGAAAAGATATACTAAAGGCCGCTTTTGAGGAAATTTCGGAAGTATTGGGCTCACTCTGTATCTTATCGCTGTCCCCCGCATCGCTCTTGATTCGTCTCTGGTCGTCTCCAAGGTAGTCCGGCATTTTGCGAGACAAAAATAGCTCGTCTTCTAAAGCGCAGCGTGTATTATTTCAATATTTCTTCACTTCGCGGACGTTAAATTAGAAGGGTCAGAGTCGCAAGGTCAAAGTCTGAATGTTTACAATTACGTCATACACACGTGTAGCAACCGAGCATTTTCAGCATTTCCAGAGCCTTCGTAAACCTTAGAAGACGAATACCTGGACATACTATCGTTAAGAGGCCTTGCGAATCATGAAGGTGACATTGACGAGCGAGAATGGCGACGTTTTCCCGCTGGAAATCGGGGCGGACCTAACTGTGCAGGATCTACAGGCCCTGGCCGAGCTAGAGACGGCGATCCCTCAGGACCAAATGCTCCTCATACACAACATGGCCCCGCTGGCCGATCCCCGCCGACCTCTGACCCAATGCGGCGTGGAGGAGGGTGACGTCATCATGGTGTCGAGACTGGAGGGGAGCGGGATGGATCCGACCACTCGTCCTACAGTGAGTTATAAATTATTTATGACACTCACTCTTTCTCTTCCCTCTTCCCTTTCCACTTCTCCCTTCTCTATTCTCTATCCAGCAACCACACCCACAAACCTCGCCGCACTCCCTCCCAACCAGCATCGACTGGAGCTCCATCTCCATACCAACGACCTCTGACCCCGGCACCACACAACCTCGTAACCGTGGGCAACAACCTCAGGGTAACCCCGACGACCCCGAAACAATCCGCCAACACTTTCTCAATCATCCGTACGAGATGGCGCGACTCAGACAGCAGAACCCTCCACTGGCGGAAGCGCTCCTCAGCGGCGATCGCGAGCGTTTCCACGACGCTCTAGCGCGACAACGCCGAGCCATGCGAGATGCCGAGAGGGAGAGAATTCGAATCCTAAATGCCGATCCTCTAGACCCGACGTACCAGGCGAAAATAGCTCAGGACATTCGACAGAGAAACATCGAAGAGAACATGGAGGCTGCGATTGAGTTCACGCCCGAGAGTTTCAGTCATGTGGTGATGCTGTACCTGGAGATAAAGGTGAACGGGGTCCCAGTGACGGCGTTGGTTGACTCGGGCGCTCGGTCCACTGTCATGAGCCAGGCGTGTGCCGACAGATGCAACATCATGAGGCTAGTTGATCGCAGGTCAGAAAGTTGTGGAACGTGACGACTGTGTATCTGTGCACTTAGCCAAGATTTCTCACAGCTAGGGACACCTTAGGAACACCCTATTTGGTGGTAATCTACACATATTATTCAGAGGATCCTTTTTCAGAAATTCCTCCTCTCCCTATTTATAGATATGCAGGCGTGGCCTTTGGAGTTGGGCAGCAGAGAATCCTCGGACGAGTTCACCTGGGGCAGCTGCAAATTGGCAGGGACTTCCTCACTTCTTCGTTTACTGTACTGGAGACGGCTCCGGAAGACATGCTACTCGGTCTGGATATGTTGAAGACACATCAGGTGACCTTTTGACCCTCACAGGAGGTCTACCTCTCGTTTTTAAGTACACACTCGCATGTGAAAATGTATTTACTGAAACTCGTATCGAGTTTACCAAGTTTCCCGCGATACTCGTAACACTATAAACAATGCAAGGGCCTTTGGCTTTTAGGTTTGTAGACTTGCTGTCATGTTTATGGACTTGTCGTCGTGTTCTCCATCTCTCTAGTGTTGTATCGATTTGAAGGACAACTGTCTTAGGGTCGGGACGACGGCCAATTCAGCCCAGTTCCTGACGGAAAAGGACCTGAAAGATAAAGAGGACACACTCAAGAAACAAGAGGTTAGGTGGTGAACCGTTTGTGAGGTTTTTAAAAATTATTTTCCACTTGACACGTTGAAACCCCGCTTTGCGATGCTATTCAGGAGGCTTTCAGTGAGAAGGAAGATTATGAAATGGCGCAGGCTATGGCTGCTTCAGAGCAGTCCTCTGGGGTGGGAGACCAGAGGACGCTGTCAGGTATATGTTCACCCTCCCCTCTCCTTTTTCTCTCCTCTTTCTCTCTTGCCTGCCTCCCTACTTCTCTTCCTCTCCTCTCTCTTCCTCCCCCTTCTCTCTCTTCCTCTCCCTTCTCTCTCTTCCTCTCCCTTCTCTCTCTTCCTCTCCCTTCTTCTCTTCCTCTTCCTCTTATCATCAACAGATGATCAAACTTGGCGACTAATTACGGGGGCAATTTCTAGGAATGGGGAAGACCGGCTTTTGTCTGTTGCTCAGTGCACAGTCTGCTTGATGTGATGCATTATTGTTCAACTCTAAATAGAAGTTGGTCCATTCTGGGGGTTCAGGTCTTTGAAAGTACATAGTTTGTGGTTGAGACTAGAGTTTGTACACCTAACACTGGTTTTTTACATGACTTTCTTTTTGACATTCCATTTCCGGTTTGCTTCTCCTCCCTCCCCTCCCCACTCAGAACCAGCACAATCTGCGATGTCATCTCAACCTCCTCCAAACCCACGCCCTCCCCAATCTCAACCTCCTCCACCAAGCCACGCCCCTTCGACCATCTCCGAGGGGGCCATATCCCAGATAACGAGCATGGGGTTTACCCGCGAGGAAGCAGTTGAGGAGTTAACGAGGACAGGAGGGAACGTTCAGCTGGCCTTGACTGCTCTCCTGGCTCGGTCCATCTCTCTATAGTCACAACTGCTGCAGAAATCATTAGACTGTCCGACCACACCCAATATTTTATCTCTTGCCTCTTGTCCAGTATGCTGCTGTATACAGACAGCGCGTATGCAAATATAGTGCGCATGCGCGCGAAAGGTGTGCGTGCGTTTGCCGCACGCATGCACGTGACAAAGTATATCATGCGCATGCGCGCGGGTTAACAATTCCTAATTAGTTTCATTTTCGCATTACGTAGCCATTATTTATCCAGCTACCACATGCAATCGCATGGCTGCGGGCGCTAATTGCATACCACGCGTACAGAAAGTACATGGATAATACACAGAGATATGGTAATTGAAACCGTGCCGTCGGAAGAAGGGCTTTGCGAGAAAAGAGCTTCGGCCGGCGGAATATGGAAAACGGTCACGTTCAGACTCAGCTGCGTCTGCAGGACGGCAACAGGACCGACTTGGCGGTGAGTGTGTAGAACAATGAGCGCGTGTTTTTAGTATACTAGACAGCTGTTTCACTTTCCGTTTGGTTGGCTCCCCCTCCCGGGCTGGCGGGCGTGTTTGCAGAGTTCGCTCCGGAAATGTCGGCTCCTGTAGCCGCTACAAGTAAAAGCGAAGCGTTTGTGTACGTGTGTGTGGGAAGTATACCGAACACAAACACGCTAGCTGGGTCTGCATTGAGTGAGCTGAGCCCACTGCACAAAGGCGGTCCTTGTGCAAAGCGGCCGACAAACAAGCGGAAGCAAGCAGAACGCTCGGTAACTGAAGAAGCGTTCCAGTTGCAGGAGAGCGCGCACCTGCAGAGAGCAGGTCAGCCCCGCCGCCGGTCTCCAGCACAGCTGGTTGGCAAAGAGAAAAGAAAGGTACATAACTAGCAGTTAATTTATTAACAACGTCGTTCGGCGGCGTTTTGCAAACCACAAAGAGCTACTAAACCAAAGACTATGAGGACCTGGAGTTATATCTAGCTGCTGTGCATGTGCTACGTACCATAAGGTAGCAGCTGCCTGGCCTTGCGACTAGCTGGTAGTAGAGTAATAATCTGGAGATAACTGGTGCTGTTTGTAGTAAGGGTGTGATGCCTTTCTGGTCTATAATATGCTTCATCATGTGTCCTCATTGTTGTGAGATGAGTGATTAAAATGTGTTAAGTGCATGGTGGAGTAAATTACTCAGAAAAAGACCAGAGTAGATAAAGTAAGTTCAGTGAGTGGCCTGTCAGTGTCCGATTAGTAAGGCACCCTCCTGAACGCAAAAGATTTGCTTCGGTTGACAAAGAACAGTTTGTTCATGAAGTCGAGTGCAAGACGGTAAAGTACTGTGGCAAACGACTCAGGTAGACAACCTTCGCAATGCTTGGGGGCGAATTTTTGTGAGCATAGACGTTATTGTATTCTCACTTGTCACAGAGTTACGCAAATGTTCTTAATTCCACAAATTTATTCTCAGAATCTTCTCTGTGCGACATTTTCTTTTGCTCGCGTCCTTTCTCTCTCACCCCCCCTCCTCTGTTGATACTAGTCAAGGCGCATTTGATCCTGTGATAATTGGAGTATTTCCTTTCCATTTCCTGTCTGCGGCAGTGTCCTGGTTCCCTGGCATATTGCACCCTCTGCGTGGCCCTTTGCTGCGAGTGTGCCCAATGTGTGACCTTTTCCTGCTCAATGAAGCCTCCATGGCTGTAGTAGACATGACGCTTAAGATCGAGGATGTATATCTGCCATAAACCGCTGGTATTCGTGTTCCACTGGTGCCTTTATAATAAAGCCAGGATTAGAACGTTTGTTAGTAACTATCGCGGGAGAGTTACTGCACTATCACGACTGAGGTATTAATATCTACACTTGCTGGCTTGAAAAAGACATAATCTGCATGCTCCGGCTGGTTGAAAAAAAAGATAAAAATGTGTCCATTCAGGAGTTGACTTCTTGAACTTTGGTGTGGAAAATGGGAGTCTAATATTTTTAGAGGGAATGGGGGAGACTAGTCTTTATCTGGGAGTAATAGCTCAGTGTGCAGTTTACTGGACTTCCAGTCATTGTGCCTGAGTTTGCCTGTCTGCTGGCAGTAATTGGTTCTTTCCTGAGTTTGCCTGACTATGCAAATATCGTGGATTGACATCAGCCGGCTTTTGTTTCTATGCCGATTAACTCCTGAAATAGTTACTTAACTCCTAGTCAGGAATGGTTTCAGCTCTAAACAGCATCGCAGAGCCCCAGGAATTCATTCCACAACGTGTGACTCACACAAAGCCATGCTACCTTTCCTTATATAGCTACCACACCTTGCACTTGTGGGAAACCTAAACTGTAATAAATTAAGACACTTTCTACAAACTCCCTCTCCGATTTGGCTTCTTGGAGGTCGCGAAGCTTCAACTTGTCTCAGTTGACACGAGTAAGCTTGTGGTGGCGTTTTTGCCCAACCTGTGTTTTTCCATGTGTCAAAGAATGAAAGTATTCGAAAATCTAGTTGAAACAGAAAGTGAAATGGCATGTATAACATGGGGTCATTGTAAGCTTCAGTAAATAAGCATCAACGATGCTGCAAAAGCAAATAAGTCAACTACACCAGGGACAATTCTCTTTTCCAAGGATAGCAGCCTTTTCAAACCCATAATCTAGGTGGAGCACTCTTATGTACGTTAGGAGCAATAATTATAATAATGTTTTTGCAGTTGAAAACTAGTAAGCATCTGCATATTATATTGCTTACATGTTTTGACAAAACTAATGAACACAGAGATTAGGGTTACTTACTTGACTTGCAAAGAAAAAGGTGTATATAGCTGCTGATAGGGAAGCAGTGTTTTTCAGTAGCTGTTTGTTTATAGCGCTGGTGTTCACAGTGACAGAGTTTTCCTAACCCCATGCAAACCGAAAGTGAAGCTGCTTGTTGTAGCTGCTTGTTTAACTATCTGTGGAGAGACCGCACACAAGGACAGCCTTGGTGTATTTACTGCACTTGATTTGTGGAGATTTCTGAATTTACCTTTGATAAAGTACACTTGCACTAACACTTTTAGTTTCATTACTCTCTCTCTTGGAACTCATCATGCCACGATTGACCAAATTTCACTTAAACGTCGAGCTAGAAATTCTTCAACCCCCAAGTAGAGACTCTAACATTCAATATTAGTATGCTGCAACCTTAGCCAGACTTGTAGCTTCTTCAGAGCGTACAGATCTTACCAGAAATTGTTTTTGTTTTGTAAGGCTTCTACATTTCTCACTCATGTACGTAGACAGGTTTTTGAATTTCAATATATATGTGTATACGAGTCCAGATTGATATTACTTTCTTACTCTTGGTTCATATTTCCTTGCTGATAAGAGGGGTAGTGGTTTTTGGGCTAGCAGGCGTGCGGCTGGAGTCATGACAACAAATGAAACAATGCCCACTCATTATCATAGCCTCCAGACGTAACAATCAATATTTGCTCGTTCACAAAACCACATCGACCGTCAATATTGAAACTATTGTCTTTCGAAACGACAACTGCACTTTCTGATTTCAACGAACCTTTCCATAAACTAAACTGTTAACCATCAGTTTTTGATTGAAACCTGCATGTCTGTACGTTTACGAAAAGTGTATAGTTGATTAAGAGCAAGCAGGCACAGTATGAAAGTGCTCCCTTGAACAAACCCAGTTATGCAATAAAAAATATCGCCATAGTTACACGGACAGTGTGAAAATCGCGGCCGGGTGAGAGTTAGTAGTAGCACGTTTTTAGTCTTGTACGTTGCAAACAAGATTTCGATTCAGTGGACCCACAAAAACACGCTCTCGCTCCAAGTCTTCCTTATGCGTCCTCATCAATGCATTCAGTAGGGCACAGAAATGGACGCCTCCTTTCCCTAATTGATGCTTATTTGAATCCACATGGAACTCGCCGCGTGTTGTGTTCACCTTGGAACCCGAGAGCGTGTTCTTATTAGATGAGTCGAGCGGTGTTGTGTGTGTGACCAGGGCCAGGGGCTTTGTTCTGGGTGTAATCCTTGGCAGGCGTCCGGTGAACGTGACGGGAGAGACCACTGTTTGTGGGTAAGTTGGAACTGTGGACCAGATGCTGGGGTTGGGGAGGGCTAGGGCTCCGATCGGGCCTTATCCGGAGCTTTGTAGTGGCCGCAATCGGGTTTATCTTGATCCCAGATCGAGTTATGAAGGGTTCGATTTGGTGCGCGTTTAATACGTCTGTGTGTGTGTGCGTGCATGTGAGTGAACTGAATGCACCGTACTGCATTCTTGTTCGAGCTGCGGAGAAGAAAGTTAGAATGAGCTGGTGTGCGTCTGTGTGTGTGTGTGTGTGTGCGTGCATGTGAGTGAACTGAATGCACCGTGAGCTGTGGAGAATAAGGTTAGAAGGAGATGGTGTGTGTGTTTATGTTTGTGCATTTTGTTTTTCTAATGAGCTCCCATACATACATACATGTGATCATCACACTCTCACTCTCCTGCTACTAATAAATACACAGAGTTAGGTCCAGAAATAGGTACTTGTAACGCAAAACGTGTTTTCCTGTATTTTTCATGTGCTTTGCATGTGGATCCTGTAGCAAACCTGTATTTGATCTCGGCAGATACGTACTTCCTGTACCTAGGTTGTAACCAACTTGTAACCAACTTGTAACTAATGTGCAAGTTCTTACTGACTTGTAGTTGTGCTTGTAAAATAGTGTTTCATGTACAAATGGCTTGTAATGTAAAATCCTCTCAACTATAAATCACCTTTTTAATCTGATATATAATATAGTGCCCTTTTCTTGTTACTAATGTAGCCACACAATTAAACGATTACAGTTAATAAAAGCCTGTTACACGGTGTATGCACTACAACTAAGTAGCGTTTTTCACTAGAAATGATGATCTAAAATGTCCGTTTTATAAACTTTGGATCGATGGGGCAAACCGCAAATGAAATTAAGGGGGCGGTTCAAAGCTGGCTCTTTTGATGAGAACTCGAATGGAGTGTAATTCAAGCTGAGCTGACATTCAGTGGGCTTGGACGGGGCACAGTTTTCTCACGGGAACAGTCCGCATCCTCTTCGAGGCTCCAGTGCTGCTGGGTCATTCAGTTGTAGTGTGCCCTAACCCACCCATGAATCCCTCCTTTGTGGCAAGTGGCCACGATCTCCAGCCACATGGCCACACTGGCATCATGATGTATTGTCCCACCATACGTACATAATGGTGGGACAATGCCCCATAATGTATACAGTATAATGCCGGTATATAGAGTACAACATACAATAACTCCCATTGTGTGTGACACATGCGGTTTGTAATGACTGCCACAATTGTTAATACAAGGCGATGTTCCGGGTGAGCGTACGTATGTTTGTTCACAGTTCTGTATCGGCCTATGAAACCGTGAGAGTTCGCACATTGCACAATGCTGCACATTCACAACTTTTGGATACGTTCGCCTCTCGATTTCCTCTTCTCTCCCATTCTAACGCGTATGAAAGTGGATTAAAGGGCCGCGCGGGCATACACGCGGACGCTAATCCAAACGGCAATGGATATCGGTTTGGCCGGCAAGCAGCTGCCCTGAAAGAGACCCAGAGCCCTCGACTACCAAATCAATTCTTTGTCCTTTCAAACATGGGAGCGTTTACAGACTTTCTCAAGCGCTGCCTTGCCCTAATATGCACACCCTAAGAACACACACGCTTGTATCTGTTGTCGTCCCTGCCCGTGTTCCCCGTAATACACTTACAAAACCAGCACGACCTTTTAGTTGCACTGTGTAATCAGATAAACCACACCAGGGGACAAGCTGGATTCCTTAGTGGTGAATGGGGGGCTTTCAAGGTTTCCAAGATGGCTCCAGGGTACGTTTGATGGACGGTGGCAGATTCGATTAGGACGTGGAGCTGGACAGGTACAGCTGGTGTTTTACCTGGCGGTTGGCAGGTCAACTCACGGGAGTGAAATTGTCGACTGATAACATGGCATTGTGGTGCATCAGTGCATTCTATCCTCCTTTTGTATCCTCTCTGGTTCCCTACCTCCATTTCTCTCTCTCTCTCTCCCTTTTCCTTCCCTCCCACCTTCATTTCCCACCTCTCTCTCTCTATCCCTTCCTCTCTCCTCTCTCTTCCTTCACTCTCCTCTCTTTCTCCCCTTCCCCTCTCTCTCTCCTCTCTCTCTCTTCCTCTCTCCCTCTCTCTCTCCTCTGTCGACCATTCTTTACTCCATTCTAACAGTCCAACATGTGACTACGACAAGCCTCCGGTAGATGCCTCACCAAAACCCTCACTCTGATAAGCTCCCTTATTTGTCCATTCCAAGCTCCCTTATTTGTTCATTCCACATGCCTAGGCCCTTTCCACTGTAGCAACATGTAACCCGAGCTTCTGTGATAAACTACTGAATATACTCACTCTCTCTCTCTCTCCCTATTTATCCCACCTCTTTTACAAGGTCACTGAAACCCTTTACTGTTATCTCAGTCGCACTTGGTAACGTAAATCGTTTGCAAACTGTATGTGTGCTGTAGTGCTAGCTAGGTGCAACCTCACATAAGTGTCAGTTCTAGAACACAGAGTTCTCTGCCTTGCTCTGTATGAGTGATTCAGTGAGCTGCCTCGGTTGGTAGAGCCCTCTCTAGAACACAGAGCTCTCTGCCTTGCTCTGTATGAGTGATTCAGCCCGGCCAGCTGAGCTGCCTCAGTTGGTAGAGCCCTCTCTAGAACACAGAGTGCTCTGCCTTGCTCTGTATGAGTGATTCAGCCCGGCCAGCTGAGCTGCCTCAGTAGCTCAGTTGTTAGAGCCCTCTCTAGAACACAGAGTGCCCTGCCTTGCTCTGTATGAGTGATTCAGCCCGGCCAGCTGAGCTGCCTCAGTTGGTAGAGCCCTCTCTAGAACACAGAGTGCTCTGCCTTGCTCTGTATGAGTGATTCAGCCCGGCCAGCTGAGCTGCCTCAGTAGCTCAGTTGTTAGAGCCCTCTCTAGAACACAGAGTGCTCTGTGTTGCTCTGTATGAGTGATTCAGCCCAGCCAGCTAAGCAGAATATAAAAATTCTTGTTTTTCCTGTGTGAATAAAGGATTTGTCTACTGTTATTCAAGGCTCATTAAACACACAGAACCTGATATTTCAGTGTCCAACTTACGGTATTAGTTGGCCGGGCTGAATCAGAGCAAGGCAGAGCACTCTGTGTTCTAGAGAGGGCTCTACAGACTGAGCTACTGAGGCAGCTCAGCTGGCCGGGCTGAATCACTCATACAGAGCAAGGCAGGGCACTCTGTGTTCTAGAGAGGGCTCTACAGACTGAGCTACTGAGGCAGCTCAGCTGGCTGGGCTGAATCAGAGCAAGGCAGAGCACTCTGTGTTCTAGAGAGGGCTCTACCAACTGAGCTACTGAGGCAGCTCAGCTGGCTGGGCTGAATCACTCATACAGAGCAAGGCAGGGCACTCTGTGTTCTAGAGAGGGCTCTACCAACCGAGCTACTGAGGCAGCTCAGCTGGCTGGGCTGAATCACTCATACAGAGCAAGGCAGGGCACTCTGTGTTCTAGAGAGGGCTCTACAGACTGAGCTACTGAGGCAGCTCAGCTGGCTGGGCTGAATCAGAGCAAGGCAGGGCACTCTGTGTTCTAGAGAGGGCTCTACCAACTGAGCTACTGAGGCAGCTCAGCTGGCTGGGCTGAATCAGAGCAAGGCAGAGCACTCTGTGTTCTAGAGAGGGCTCTACCAACTGAGCTACTGAGGCAGCTCAGCTGGCTGGGCTGAATCAGAGCAAGGCAGAGCACTCTGTGTTCTAGAGAGGGCTCTACCAACCAGGCAGGCACTTCAGAGACAAAAGAAAATTTCCAATTTGAGTGTAGAAACAGCTGCTACTCCACTCAAATACTATTAACCTCTGACCCCTGAATAAAGATTATTATGTTGGTCTCTCTGGAATCGTGATTCTCAGAGGGCCCCAGACTTTCTGGTGCCCAGCCTTTTCTTTCTCTCATTCAACTGCTTTGCTGAGGTAGACAGTCCAAGTTGTATGAATTTCAGCATTCAATTGTGAACATTTTACGTTGCCACGGATATTCATGAGGCTACTCATGAGGCTACAATTAGCAATATTCGGTTATGAATGGTTCATCAGATGATTGTAGTTGATCGATGATGTGGCGATGGTTTTAAAGTGTTGATAGGAGGCCCGAAGGGAGGGTGAAATTGTGACAAATATGTACCGAAACGATATTTATGGCGCTGTTATTGTGGTGATTTCGTCACTCCTACTTAGCGAAGCATTTCTATTTGTGAGTTTATGGCATCTCCTACCTGCTTTCCCTCCACTTCTCCTCTCCCCTCTCCTCTCTCTCTCTCCTCTCTCTCTCCCTCTCTCTCTCTCTCCCTCCACTTCTCCTCTCTCTCTCTCCTCTCCCTCTCTCTCTCTCTCCAGTCTCCAGATTATAAAATCATCCCTCTCCCTCCACTAATAAAGATAGCCAACACCGTTCCAGGTTGGTCTGTGTAGCCATACTTTCAATTTCACTTGTCAAAAATGTTCCCATGAAAAATATCCAGATTTTGTTGACCAATATCATAAAAAATGTATGTGTATATATAAAAATTTAGAGTTTTGTCATAGAGTAAGAGGGAAAAGGAGTGGAAGAGGGAGGGGAGGGAGGGAGGGAAGGGAGGGAGGGAGAGAGGGAAAAGAGAGTAGTGGGGGGAAGGGAGAGGAAGGAAGGAAGGCTAGGCATACCTTAGGAGAACCACAGAGGAAGATGGTTACGCCAGTTATGCTAACAGAAGCCCTGGAAATGAGGTGTTCAATTCCTCTGACTTTCAGAGAAATTCAGTTTCACACACACAAGCCATTGGGTGTGTTTGTGTGTGGTGCAAGCCTACTGGCTGTGAGATCTGAGCACTGTCCTTGAGATCCCTGGAAATGAATCCCTTCAACTTAGTTTCTGTTCCAATGAGGACTACTTACTAATGAGGAGTACTTACTAATGAGTACTTACTAATGAGTACTTACTAATCAGGACACCTCACTGATCAGGACACCTCACTAATCAGGACACCTTGCTAATCAGGACACTATCAGGACACTGTCATTAGTTGCTTCCTTTGACCATGCCATGAGGTAGCTCCAATCAGGGGTGTCCTGATTTGTGAAGTGTCCTGATTAATGCGATGACCTAACTAACACCACTGCACACTGCCCCACGTCCAGTTTTCATTTTTACTCTGTACACTGAATTCGAAAGTGCTCGGCATGCGTGTGTCTGTGTACTCAGCCCCGTTGCTATGTGCGTTGCTAAGCGCTGTCTCCACGGAGACCACAACAGCTGCAGTTGTTTCAGGGAGCGGTGGGACACATCGACTGTTGACATTTCGTGCCGACTTCAGTTTCTCTTTCTCCCGGACATTGTTTATAATCCCTCGTGTTCTTTTCTTCTTCGCTGCTTGACGGTTTTGGCAGCAAAGGGCTTTCCGTTTCGGGTTGGTTTTGTCCCAAATTGTCATCTTAAACGCAGGTGGTCTTAACAGACCTCACCTTCGGGAGATGGAAAGTTGACTGCTATTGAGCTATATTTTGTTGTTGAGTCGGTTGCTTGTACATAATGCTTTGGTTTTTTTTGAGTGTTTCACATGGTTATGTTTTTCATTGCTGATTTTTTGGTTAAGATTTAAAATTGGCGTCTTTATGATCTTATCCTCTCTCCCTCCTTCATCTCCTCCCTCCCTCCCTCCCTCCCTTCTCTCTTCTCCCTCCCTCCCTTCTCTCTCCCTCCTTCATCTTCTCCCTCCCTCCCTCCCTTCTCTCTTCTTCTTCCCTCCCTCCCTTCTCTCTTCTCCCTCCCTCCCTTCTCTCTCCCTTCTCTCTTCTCCCTCCCTCCCTCCCTTCTCTCTTCTCCCTCCCTCCCTTCTCTCTCTTCTCTCTCCCCACACCCCTCAGCAGTAGGCTACTCAGCAACGACCAACACCAACCAGAACAATAGTGAGCCGTCATCATCATCCGTTGTACCCATCCACCTGGTAAGACACTGCCCAGTAAAAATTGTGTTTCTGCAAAACCTGAACCCATAAGTTACTGAACACCCATCCACCTGGTAAGACACTGAAATTGTGTTTCTGCAAAACCTGAATCCATAAGCTACTGAACACCCATCCACCTGGTAAGACACTGAAATTGTGTTTCTGCAAACCTGAATCCACAAGTTACTGAACACCCTCCACCTGGTAAGACACTGAAATTGTGTTTCTGCAAAACCTGAACCCATAGTTACTGAACACCCATCCACCTGGTAAGACACTGAAATTGTGTTTCTGCAAAACCTGAACCCATAAGTTACTGAACACCCATCCACCTGGTAAGACACTGAAAATTGTGTTTCTGCAAAACCTGAATCCACAAGTTACTGAACACCCATCCACCTGGTAAGACACTGAAATTGTGTTTCTGCAAAACCTGAACCCATAAGTTACTGAACACCCATCCACCTGGTAAGACAGTGAAATTGTGTTTCTGCAAAACCTGAACCCATAAGCTACTGAACACCCATCCACCTGGTAAGACAGTGAAATTGTGTTTCTGCAAAACCTGAACCCATAAGTTACTGAACACCCATCCACCTGGTAAGACACTGCCCAGTAAAAATTGTGTTTCTGCAAAACCTGAACCCATAAGTTACTGAACACTGAAACTGGTTCAGATTTCGGCAGTCTCGTCTGCGTCTCTGCCAAAAACAAACCGTTCTTTAATCACCTGTCCCCAAGGGATTTCAGATCAACCAATACATTGCGTGAGGATGGAATTTGAGCGATGCACAGTTTTGGAATAACAGTGGTCGGATGAACTTTCATGACGATGGAGTTGTGTGGACTATGTGTTGAGAGCGGATCGAAAGCAGTGATATGCGATATTGAATAAACTATCCCATACCTCCCCCCCCCCCTTGCACGCGCTGTTAGGGGTTAGCACGCGTGGCTAACTAATAATAAGCACGCGTGGTAAGCGAGCTAAGTTAATAGCACACTATATAGCAGGTCATATAGAACATTTGTGCTTGTTTGTCTGTGGTGGTGTGTGTATAGTAGGAAAGTGAATGTGAAAGCGAATATTCATTTTCAAATTTGGAGTTGTTTTACAAACAAAACTGTGGACATGTCAGAGTAGAGAAGGCACAACATCTCTGTCTCTTACTCTCCTCCCATCTTACTTTTCTTTTTCTCCATGTCCCACTCCTTCCTCTTTCTCCTCTCTTTCCCTCTCTCCTCCCTCCCCTCTCTCCTCTCCTTCCCTCTTCCCTCCTCTCCTTCCCTCCTCCCCCCACTCTCTCTCCTCTACCAATAAAGGTATCAAATTTGTCGCCGATGCAAACACCAATAGCTAATAGCCCATAGCACACCATGACACCACACCAGCCCATAGCCAAGTGATCTGTATCTGAAATACAATCCTCCAATCCCGACACTATACCCGATTACCTGCCGGGAGAAACATGCTCGGAATTTGATTTTGAAATCCGCTCCGTTGTCGACGCGACACTCGCGGTGTATATCGAAAGCTGTGAGAGAGAGGGAGAGGGAGGGATGGATATCCTTACCTCCTCTTGCCCAAAATGGCCGTCGTCGCCATCTCAGCACACAGTGGGATAGAGTATACCGGTAACCAGATCGTCATCGATACCCCGTCTGTTTGGATCGCCGTGGAGACCAAATTTCCTATGATGTAATTCGAAACCTATGCCGGTTAGCACTCTCTTGTTATAAAGGATGGAGGCTGGCACAAGAGATCAAAAAAGAGAAATAGTTTAGTTAAGAAGTATTGTCAAAAGACTAGCTGACTTGAAAGGTAGTAGATACAAGCTTGTGAAAAGAGATTGAAAAACTTATTTGGAGTTTGTCTTTTCATATTGAAAGTGAAACTGAGGCTGGAGAGTGGTATACCAGAATGGTGAGTTTAGGGAGAGGGGGGATAAGGGGGATAAGCTTGAATGTAGTTAAATTGAAAGTCGGTACATTTTGGACTCTGAACTACAACAAAAGGCTATTTCCTTTGTAGTAAAGAGTTCAGCGCTGTTTTTCAGTAGCATACTGTTGTCTGGCCCACTGTGGTATGCAAGGCAGCTGCATCTGTAGCAGTGCTTCATTTTCACTTTCATTATGCCACCCTAGTAGTTTCACCAGGAAATGGTCGCAATACCTATACTTTATGCTTCCTGGCATAATATATATTGCCACTGTCACTGGCTCACAGCTCAGTTTAGCTTGCTGAGGGGGTTGCAGACGGACAAGGCAGCTGTGCTATCTTGCCTCTGCATATCCCCATTTAGTGGATAGGTCAGTTTGTCTTAGTTGAGCAGGCAATTTTAGCACAAGTTGAGTGAACATCCAGTGCTAGTTTCAAGGAAAGGAAATTGCTGAATCCGTAAAGAATTTGTTAGTTTCGATTAACAAACGAAACAAGTAAAACCAGTAAAACGAGGAATTGTTTGGTGGAAAGAGAGGTTGATGATCGTTGGTAACAGAGAAGGGAAGAGGATGCCGGGAAGAAGGAAGTGCACAGATCGATCTCGAAATAGCAGCTGCAACCTGTCACTCACTGACAAAAGTGCCTTTAACAAATTAAACGTCAGTTCACTCACCTATGAGACTGGCTACTGCTTAAACGTCAGTAACACAAATGCAGAATTATGCATGTATTTGCTTAATTGATACCGGTTGCAGCAAAACAAGACCTTATTTCATAATTGAACGTCGGTAACGATCGTGTAATGCACCTGGACTAAATAATGACGGCTGTTGCAGGAAAACCGGACATTATCTCGTTGTAGCGATATGGGGATAATTAGGTGCAGAGTTGTGCTAATTGACGCCACAAATTCTTTCATTATGTCTGCATTTTCAGCTCTCGCTCTGTGCCAAGTGACTTACGTGGTTACGAGGCACGCACACACGCACACACACACACACACGTTCATTTGTATCTCTTTGTGCACTGCTCTTGTGCGTGGCGTGTCTTCAAGCCTTGTGTTGTTGTGGAGCTGTTGACAGAACGCACACGTATTTTGTCAGAAAGTGAAAGTGAAATTAGTTTTTTCGGTCA